GACCACGTGACGACCTATTAGTTATTGGCCCAAACTCAGAGTGCGCTGTTCAATGTCGTCTACGGTCAGATCTCCCGACTAGCAGTCCATATTTATATAGTCAAAGATACTACGCTAGATCGCTAACTTAAATAGTGGGGATCAGACCAAAAAGTGAAGCCAACTCTTAAGATATGCCGCCATTTATAGTACGAAAGCACCAACTTAACAAAACACTAATGGCTAGTCTACAATGGGAGTAAAGCCTATGTCACACTACGGATTGGGATTGAGATTAGATTGAAATTTGACCAATCAGAAAAAAGAGAATCAATTCTAAGTGTACTGATCTTCGCTCTGATTGGCCAAATTGCAATTCAATCTCAATCCTAATCCGTAGTGTGACATAGGCTTAAGTAGGTTTGGTTTGGTGCATATATGGCTCAAAGGACCTATTCAAGTTAGTCCATACGCCATTCTAAGCAGTGGGAGTAAGTAGTATACATAGACGTAGAATGTATAGACTGAGCGTTCCCTACCTTTGCCATGTTAAGAAAACGTCTTTAACTGTTGAGAGAGACAGCTGGTGTTGAACAGTAGCCTCATCTTTGTCTAGCGAAGTAGTGGGGGAAAAGAAGTCTTCGCTGATTGATAGAATAGTAGTGGAAAAGTGGGGGTAGAAAAATAGTGGGGGTGAAGAGGAGTGAAAGAGATTAAGGGGTGATGGCGGGTTAGGGTTAGGTGGTAAAACAGTAGGCTTCTTCTTCTTTCTTCTTTGCTGTAATGGCTCTTGCCCCGGTGAGAAAGGAGCATACGCCAGTCTTTGATAAAACAGTAGGCCCTGATCCCACCACAGACATTGATAGACAGAGAAAGAGTTACTGTTCAAAGTATGTTGTCTCTCTCAACGTTGAAGACATCTTTTCAGCCAAACGCGCAGTCTATATATTCTACGTCTATGGTTTCATTAAAGTTTCAATGAAAAAAAGCGCTTTGGAGCGAATAGGAGCATGTTGGGGCATGCGACGTGAACAAACCTAAAGGTTGTTGCAGTTTGTGGCTCATTGGACCAATAGAGAAATAGTCCACATGCCATTGGCTGCGTTCGGCAAAAAACAAATGCTGAATTGTTACAAGATGACGCTCGTGTGTGCACACGAGCGGTAGTTCTCGAAACGCAGGCAATTATGTTGCGTGTTGCAACATAACCTCGTTTTCAAAACTTAAAAACACAAATATATCTAAATATACTAGTCCTAATGAAATATTTACATTATTATCAGTTAACGAAAACAAAAAATCGTCGCCGTATCACAATACCGTCAGTAAGAAAATCTCGAAATGGATATTTTGAGAGCGGAGATAGCAAAAAAGCGTAAGGAATTGGAAGAACTTTGCGTCTTGGTAGGTTAGGTTAGATTATTTGTTTGTCATTTATATATGCGATTAATGTATATCTTTATTCTGAGATATTACTTTGCAGGAGAACAATAAGAAATATTTCAAAAGAAGTCACTTGATATCAAAAGAACAGGAGGTGCACGAAACTGACAAAGGAACAAACGAATCTGCTCCGTCTAATAGCAACCAACAGTCAGAAGAATGTGTGACAGACAACAGTTCTGAACATTTGCTGTCCAGACAAGAAGTAATCAGACGATTGCGCGAACGGGGAGAACCTGTATTATTGTTTGGCGAATCCGAAGTAGAAGCGTTTAAGAGATTACGAAAATGTGAAATTCTCGAGCCAGAAGTGAATAAGGTAAAGTAAATCCTCGTTTTATGTGTCATATTGATTTTGTACACCAGAATTTCGTATCAAAAAAAAGACCGAAGCTTGACCGTGCAAATTGAACAGGGTTTTAGAAATGATTTCCAAGAGGCCATGGAGCAAGTGGACCAAGCTTATCTCAATGAGATCTTGACGTCGTCCAAGTCCCAGAGTCTCGACGGAAAGGGAGATGTGAACGTACCCGACGAGGGTGTTACTTACGAAGATATACAAAAAATGGCGGCTAAACTGAACAAAGGGGACAAAGATTTCGATATGAACGTCATCACTCTGTTTGTACAATATTTGGTGCAAATGTGGGGCAATCAGTTGAACAGTCGGTCAACCGTTGAAAAGATGAGCACAAAGGGAAAAATGAACAGCGCCACGTATGCCCAAACAAGAGAGTACTTGAAGCCTCTTTTGCGAAAGTTAAAAAACAAATCTCTCCCCGAGGATATAACGGACAGTTTGACAGAAATTGTCAAACATTTGTTGCAGCGTAATTATATATTGGTACGTATATATTGGTACCAATTTTACATGTGACATCTCTGTATAGAAGTGCAATAATAAGAAACATTTGTACGCTTAAGGACGTTCTCCGACTACAGTCGTTAGCAACCTACAATATCTCTTCTCATGAGTAAGTTTGTACTGCTGTAACAAAGTTGAGCTACTCAGCACTGCTAAGACCCGCTTACTCTGCGCAGAAGTTCAAAACTAGCTGCAGTACACAGCGCACATAAATCCAGCAAAACAAAAAAAAGCTACACTTTGAAAAACAGAGTTGCTTGCCATATTATTTAAAATCGTATTTTAATTAGGACACTCTCCACCACCACATACTTATTTGTTCAAAAAATCCTAAGAAAATTGTCGTCAGTAGTTTTAAAAAACCCCACTTCACAAAGGCTCAGCATAGGAAATCCGTGTTAAAAATTTGAAATATAAATCTTCCATATTTTGGAATTTAACATTGCTACCCCCTATTATCCAAAAAGGCTACGTATAAATAAGATCATAAACTATGTGTATCGCAAACTTAAAGAAAATCAATAATTCGGAGAACGTTCTTAATGTAAAAAAATTGTTGAATGTTTTATAAGCAAAGTTAATTGTTTTATTTTATTTCTTTAGGCTAGCGACGCCTATTTACAAATGGCTATAGGTAATTCTCCGTGGCCTATTGGCGTAACTATGGTCGGTATTCACGCTCGTACCGGTCGGGAAAAAATTTTTTCGAAAAACGTGGCCCATGTTATGAACGACGAAACTCAGAGAAAGTACATTCAAGCGCTCAAGAGATTGATGACCAAATGTCAGGAATACTATCCGACAGATCCCTCAAGATGCGTAGAGTATTCGAAATCTTGAACTCGTATATATAATATGTAGAAAATTGAGTGGAACAAGATGGTATATTTAAAAATATGTGTATATATCTTATTATATTATCATTACAACCCGACAAAAACGTAGATTATTGATTATTATATAAAGATATCCTCTATAATATAAGGTCATAATATAAAACTCTTTATATCTTTAACGTAAAAATATATATATA